TGTGAAGAAATGGTTTATTGTAGAAATTGCAGTGCTTCACTGAAATAAAGAATGTAGCAAAATTTTTAAGCAAATCCAAGAGTTAGAAGGTACTATATTATTTTGCCCAGAGCAAAGCCAATATTGGATTAGAAAAAGATGGTTGTATTCATCCTGTTGGATTTAGCCAACATTCCAAACTCCTCTACCAAACCTTTAACAGCACCTTTGACAAATTAACCAGCAAAATGAACTAGTTTCAATGTTACTATTCCCTTACTCTCTTTGCCATAAAAGCTGAACAAATGTATAGTCAAATGACTAAATACATAGGGAACTCATTCATTAATTTATTCAATAAATACAACTGCATTCCTACCATGTGCTGGGGATTAGACTGGATACTACCTATCACTGGTGATAAAAAAGATCTCTACACTTTGGAATTTGACAGTTGAAAAGGGGCTATAGGTGTATTAATGACCTAAATAAGCAAGAAATCTAGTTAAATAATCTTCAGATTATTAAGAGTTAAGAATAGATCACAGAGTTTTGTATTGTTTCATCATTGATGCTATTGAAATGTTTTCTATTTATTTTTTTTAATTTCCTTTATAAACCCACAAATAACCTGATGTGCCAAAAATTTCATCTCTAAGAACACTCATTAATAAATACAATTTGTGATATGTATATTTGTGTTGCCAATCCCATCGATGTAAAATGTTACGAGGTGAGCTAATTTTGAATTATTGACGATGAGTAAGAATGTTGTTCCATAAACATTTTATGCTATTTCACAGCCATTATTAAACATCTACTTTTTTTTTATCTTTCCTATAAAGGACACATATCCAATATAATATGATATCAACTCCATATTATTTTGATTTACTCCACATCACTTTGGACTCTAAAAACTTTAAGTTTGGATGCAAAAAGCAGATTTCAATAAAGGCTGAAAAAATTATCTCATCATTAATCACAGTAATTAAAGTATTTTGATAGATTACATAGTGGTAATTAATAGTTACACATAGATCACATTTCAAATAATCTACATATAATAGAAATACATTATAACTATTGTTATATTATTTCATCTTTTTTTTAGTGATTCAAAAGGCCTAGGGTCAACCTTATGATTTCTAATTATTATTAATGTAGAGTTGTATTTCTTAAAGGATAGATAGCAGAGTGTACTATATGTCCTTGTGGTGTTTAGGTTCTCTTTTCACAATAATTAACAAATCCTTAGCACAAACAAAATTTATGGAGCACTTACTACATGCAAGTTTCTGTGTTAGACACTCGGTTCTTCTCATACATGGTCTAAGTATTATAGCTTGAATCAGGAGCCAATTAACATTGGATATCTGATAAAAGATCTACCAATAATCCTTTATTCCTAAATAAGTGTTAGATATCTATATTTATATATTAATAACAAGTTTACAATAAGGCATTTAAAAGGTATCACTGGAAATTTTCATGCAAATTTTATGGTACCACCTATATCTTACTGACTGAGAAAGCAAATTTCTGCTCATCTTTGATCTATATTTCAATGCGCTAATATATGATCCTGAAATCTGCTGATATAAAGTTAATAGATAATATTTGGCTTTAAGTGATAGTCTAGCTAAAAAAAAAATTTTGTTTTCTAAGTTTTCTCTTTCTATAACAACATTTAATTAAGTATTTAAAAATTTTTCTGAGTTCTATGAAAGAATTGCTAGCACCAATCTTAGTCACGAAAATTAAACAAAAGACATCTTGATAAACATAATAAAAATTACTTTTTGGCACGGTTTTCTTAACTGAATGCAACAAACTCTGAGGGTCTTTTATGAACCAGGAACTGTTCCTGGCACCAAGCATATAAAAATGAGAAGCTTAAAAAACAGTGGAGGAATGAAGACTTAAATCGATAAATAATTTCAGTACAATTGGCAGAAGTATGCACAGAAAGGAAAGGCCCCAAGCCTAACTGGAGGGAGGTGAGGGACTGGGTAAGGTAACCACCAGAAGGCACCAGGGAAGGTCATCAGAAGGGAATCATGGCTATGATGCCTGGGCAGTCTTGAAAGATGAGTAGGCATAACCAGGTAAAGAATGGAGTGAAAATTTTAGCAAAGTCATGGGAGTATGAAATGGTATATTGGATTATAGAAAATTTTCTAAAATTATGTTCTACCAGGACTCCATGGCCTTTTTGTGGCTTTTGTTCCTTTGAACTTCACCATTTCATCCTTCATCTGCTCATAATGGAAGGCTAGTACACTCCACCATTTGGAGGCTTTATCTCTGTAAATCTCAACCATCTGGAGTACAGAAAGAGAACTTGAAATGAAAAATGGCTTCTACACAAGCCATGTGGTGAAAAGTAGAATATGACATCAAGGAGACAAAAGTTGAACAATAACCTGGGAATATTTAGTGTAGGAGCATTCAGCTCTGCACAGCTCAAAATCCCCATCAGAATATACTAAGGAACGATACATTACCTGATGGTTAGAATATGACCCAGGGTCACCAAGATAAAGTTATCTAGTGTATACCTGTTTATAAAGCAGGTGGCTGTATAATAAATACACCTAAAAAGATCTCTATCCAATATTGTTTAAACAGAAAAGTTGTATATTAAGTGAAAAACATGTCAATACCTGTGAAATTCATATTTATGAACCACCTTATTTCTCAACCATATAGATAGAAGAGATGTTATTACAGCACGAATAAAATTTAGCAACATAAAGAGTCTTTGGATAGAAAATATTTAGGATCACGAATTTTGACAAAAACTTATAGCTTCTAATTTATAATATGCATTAACTCTTCATTTTCATGTGACAAGGTTCTTATTTCAAAAGCTTGTTTCATCTATTTTCATGCATAGAAAGTCTCAGTAAATGGTGATGAATGAAAAGATGAATGAATTTAAAAAGATTTTATATGCTGAAGGAACGACTGATTATACAGCTTCACATTTCACAATAAACTGTAGCATATTAATTTAACCACCAAATTAGGAAGAAAATGAAGGTATTCTATAAAGTATTTTTCTTTCTTACATTGTCAAGAAATGAGAGGTACAAAATATACTATATTTTACTATATCAAATACTCTGTCCTCAAGGACCTGTTAGAATAGCCAAATTCACATCATTAACCTTTTTTAAATTTTATTTTTTAAGTGCCAAAGTTTTTGTATTAAGCTTACTATATACCATCTTTCTCTAGAAACATATGAATTTTTTCTAGTCCTCTAAATTCATAACTGATCACTGATCTATATTCTATAGTGTATCTCTTTCCATTTATAGTCTGTATATTCCAAATTAAATTCTACACAGGTTTTCATTCTTTCCTTATTCAGAGAGTCTTCATCCAGGTTTAAATAAAAGTCTTTGTTATGGAATCAGTATATTAAATTATGCTATTTAGTTAATAATTTCTTTATTTCGCATTAAATAAATGAATTTGGTAGTGTTAGCATTTACAGAGAAACACTCCAGTTTCCACAGATTTACACTATCTTGTACGTTATTCTTTAGAAGTGAAGTGGTTAAGACTAGGAAAAAATAGTGTTGGAGTACTGATTCATAACTTCACAAAAACAAATTAAGCAATTCATTTGCAATAATTAAAGCATGAGAGATTTTAAAATTATTTTTCATAGTGTACAGCAGCCTAATTTTTTTCTGTTCTTAGCCAATGAAACCTTTACATGTTAAAAATTACACTTCATAAACCGTTTAAAAAATATTTGGTGCCAATTTATTTTTAAACTCTGATTAAAATTTTAAAGCATAGTTTTTCATAAGAAAACACTTGAAGCATTAATCAATAATGTCCATTTTAAAGTTCCTATACACATACTAAATACATACTGTTCATTGACTTATCATCCGGCATTCCATTTAGAGAAAAAAATGTGTATATGAGCCAAGGCAGTTAAAAAAAAATTGTTAGCATACCCATGTACAAACTGAGGATTCAGGACTACACTACTGCATTCAATTATATTGTGAAACAAAAGCTTTACCATGTTTATCTTCATGCCTCAAAGTATTTAATTAAATTTTAATAACTTCATATACTCTAGACCTAAAGCTGCCAAAGATCAAGGTTCACTGGCAATAAGATCCTTCAATTATTACGAAGAAAATATCCATGCTATTCATATTTATCAAATTAACATTTTAATTAGGTGTCAGTATCTCATTTATTAATTAAATGAATACGTTTCTCACAAATTCTGATTTTCTAAATATCACCACCTCCCCTAACCGAGATACATCTGCCATTTTCAAGGTTTTAGAAACGCTTGTTAAAAAGACTATTGAAAAGTTTACAATAGTGTGGAATTTTACTTATTCCAAGGAAGTACACATTGAATATTTTTTGAGAAGCAATGATAGTTTTATGACTTTCAAAATGAATTCAAATGAAACTCAATGTGAGCCTAATTTTTGCTTTGGGTAAAGAAGGATCATTAGAAGATTGAGTTCCAAGGGACCAGCAAGTGCCAACCGCTTTAAAATTTACCTTTCCCATATGACAGCATTTACTCTTACAAGAAGGAAAAAGTCACCTTTCTTTCTAAACAAGGCACTCAGATTAGCCTAATTCCAATGAACGCTGGGGTCATGGACCAAACAACAACAACAACAACAACAACAAAAACCACCAAAAGGATTAATTATTCCAACCCAGGTTTGCTGCCATTTCAGGGACGCCCCAGAAGTACTCTTCCTCTGCAAATTTAGTTGACCCCTCATGTCTGACAACCCCTAATAACTTGCGGAGAAGTTACAACTTTCCAAAATTAGGTGGGGGTAGGGGACAAATGAGACATGTATGAGAACCCACAGGCTTCGCCCTCTGAAATGCATCATATTTACTTTTGACAAAAATAAATAGAAGCAAAACCGAGATTCAGAAGGAACTCTCTCTGCTGCGTGCCCCGGTCGAGCTTTTCAAAAATCCCTTAGAAAAGAAGCAGACTGGAGGCTCACCTTCCATCTCGCCGCGGGGCTGGGCTGGGCTGGAGCTGCCGCTCTTGCTACCCCGCCACTCCACGTGCTCCTGCCGTCGCCAGGACGCAGCGCGCAGCTGGCGGGAGATTCCCAGCGCGGGGAGTCCCCGGGATCCGGCGTCCGCGTCCGCGCAGATTAAGGGGCAGGAGCCTACGACCCGCCGGTGCGCAGGGTTACAGCGGCGCTGGCTGGCGGCAGCTTTAAAGGACGCTCACCTCCAGTGCAGAAGGTTCCGCGCCTCCAACCCCTTTTTGAATGTCAAACCGGAGAACCCCCATAGGATGGAAATGGCGCATCAGTAAATTGTCTCAGAAGGTCTATTTTAGAAGGATAATGGATGGGAGAGTAATATCACATGGTGGGGGGAGGTGGGGCTGGATTGCTGAGCAAGATCTGAAACTTTTGGTCTAGATTTGGGGATAATAGCCATGAATATCATCAATGAGAATTCACTTCATTCGAAGCATTATGTTTTTCTTCCTCAGTTTTTTTTTATTGCACATGATAAAACTTCTTGGTCCAAGTTTTCAGAAAGTTCTAAGTTCAAAAAGACTTCGGCATTTTTATCAACTCAGTTTTTTTCTTTTTGGAAGCAATCCTCTCACTTTTGTTTTTCCTTCTTGGAACTACTTGGTTTATTTGCCACCACTCATGACATACTACACATTCTATGTGTGTTTTCTACTACCCTGCCTTCTTCCAAATAGGATCTGAGACAGCTTGCAAAAATACATATATAATGTTATCAGATAAGTAAAGAAAGTAGAGCTGTGGTGGGGGGGGTGGTTATAAGATAGTAAAATTAACTCAAAGATGTTAATACACAGAAATGTACCAGTAAACATGTTTTTCCAATATCTTTGCTGCTTTATAGATATAAAGCACACATTTGACTGTAGGAAGAGGAAAGGGGAAGTGACCACATAACAGTTTTTCAAAGCAGAACTTTTCTTCACACTGGGGTCTAAAGGACACTGTTCAGGTAAACTCTCATAAAGATACCCAGTGTGTTGAATCAGACATTTCAATGATTCTCAAAAAGACCACTTCCACTCTTAGTAGAAAGTTATATTGTTAAGTGTATAAAATATATTTGAGACAAGGTTGGAGGGTTTGTGCATCAGTAGACCATATCAGAAGAAACCCACACTTAGGAGTTAAAGTATGCATGTAGTAATTTTATGAATTTCAGTTTATTTTAAATATGCCTTGGTATAGGAGGTCAGCATATATATATACATATGTGTCTACATACACACACATTTATGTGTGTGATTTTAAAAAATGAATGAATACACTTCATTGGCTTTAAGATCATGGTACTTTGGCAGCATCTCTATAGCTTGTATGGGTTGGAGTTCTACAGGATAATACCAATTTCAGAGAAATACTCTAAATACTAGGTCTAATTTTAGTATTGAAAGGGGAAATTTGTTGTTTGTTAGTTTCTAAAAGCAAAAATAGCACATCAAAAGTAGCAGAAGAGGAACTGTAGAATTTCACAGGGATGGTGTAAGGAGAAATAGTTATTTGGCTATTAAAAAGTTATTTAAAAAACCTTTTATTATCTTCCATGACAGTATCTTAACAGTAGAACACGTCACTACTCTCTAAAATAATTCAGAATTGAGTATTTCAGATTCCAAAGAGTGATACCTAAGGAGATAAAAAGTAAACGGGTAAAATAATTTATGTAGCTACTCTACACTCAAGGAGGTGGAGCATAACTCCCTACTCCTTAAGTGTGGGCTTCATGTAGTGACTTCCTTCCAAATAGTACAGTTTGAAAAGAGTGGGGGGAGTAACTTTACAGTAGAGAAAGCTGACAAACACTACTTCAGTCAGGCGATTAAGGTAATATTAACAGTGATAGGGCATGTTGATAGAATGTACACTTGATATGATGAGAATGGCATTTTACCTCTGTAGTCTTACGCTTCCCAAAAAGACAACCCTAGTCTAATAAAGAGAAAAACAGACAAATTCCAACAGAGAGGCATTCTGCAAAGTGCCTGATCAATTTAGGTCACACCAATGCCATCAAAACTGTCATTAACTGTCAAGATCATTAAAAACAAGAAATGTTTAAGAAACTGTTACAGCCCAGAGGAACCTAAGGAGACATGATGACTAAATGTGCCATGCCAGGTGGAATGTAATCCTGTAGCAGAAAAAGGACATTAGCTATAAATTAAGGAAACCTGAATAAAGCATAGACTTTCTTTAATAGTAATGTATCAATATTGGTTCATTAATTGTGAGAAATGTAACACACTAATGTAAGATGTCAACAGTAAGGAAAACTCAGTGGGAGTACATGAAAATTCTGTACTATCCTGGCAATTTTTTTGTAAATTTAAAACTGTTCTAAAATTAAAAGTTTATTTTGAAAGTGGATGGGTACTTTCAACAACCATCTACTACTTATTTGGTTAAGTTCCTTCTTATAGTATTCAAATCCTATTATCACAGGATTTACAAGGATCAATTACTTATAACTGGGAAGCTAATAAAACACTGGATTTATAATGTACTTTGACTAAAACCGGAATGATATCAACTTCTAGGGAATCCAATACAATGCCTGAATTTGTCTTATCATCACATTTAGAAGAGAACAGTTGAGGCTAAATGAAAAATCTAGACATAGTAACTGACATGGGTGGATCTGACTCACTGAATCACATTTCATCGCTTATGCTATGTAGGTAAAATTAACAGTGACTAAAAATGAAATCACTGACAAAGGTTGCTCGCGGACCATCTGAGATAGTCCTAGTACTGACTCGGCTCGAAGGAAATAAAACTGAAAAAAATAAAAAAAAAAACCCTCTTGATCTCACCCCAAATAATCATTCTGCACCCTGTCTGAACCTTGGGCTCTCTACCCACCAGCCTACTCAAAACCACGACTGAGGGTGTCCCACTGCTAAGAAAAAGACAACACACAGGGCCTTTCAGGCCACCAAATTAGTAGCCAGGAAGGAACCATAAAAGACGCAGGGAATGGTCTCTTTTGGAGCTCTCTAATCTTCTCAACTATCTCCACAGGAATAGCAGATTTGGGGATCTTGCCTTTCAATAGGGCCTCTTTTCTAAAAGCAAGGTTGCTACACAACCCTAGAGAAATTTGCATGCAGGGTCTCTGAATGTCGCGTGATACTTGAAGTCGATAATGAAGATCAAATGTTCCTCCTAGAGTGGGAAGACCTGCAGACACCTTGTTTGCGCTCTAGTGGTTCTTTAGATTGTTTTGCGGGTAGAAGAGTGCAGTTAGGTAAAAACTGGGTGTAAGAGTTTGAAAAAGGTTGTGTACAGTTTCAGACAGTTCAGGAGAAGAAAAGCATAGGAAATGCCCACGCGGGGGCTCTGCTTCCTGTGAGGAAATTCTCACAAGCTTCCCCTCCTCCCGTCCTGAGGTAATGGTATCCCCCACTCGCCCTACCCGTACGCCGCCGTATTTGAGACCCGCGGTGTTCCTCTCGTTGCTTTCATCAGGCCCTAGACTAAAGAAGTTACCGAAATGCCAAGCCTTTGGTTCTTTTTCTTTACTATTTTCTTACACGGGTTGCTCAGGGAACTAAGACGCCAAGAGCGCGGGAAAATGGCGCCAGACGGGAGGCGCGAAGCAACCCCACGACGACGGCCGCGTGCGTGCGAGGGGGCGGGGCGTTGGCCGCCCGCTCTGGAGCGCAGAGCCTGCTCATCTCGCCCGGCCGGCAAGCCTCGGGAGCACGCGCGCGCTCTCCTACGCGTCCGCTCCCGCGGTAGCGACCGACCGGTAGGGTTGCCGACCCCGGCGGTTTGCTCCGCTCTGTGGAGGAGAGATGGGGAGGCGCTGGGCCGGGGCTGAGGTAGGAAGGAGCCCGCCCCTCGACGCCTCCCGCGACGCTAGCCCCTGAGACGTGATGCGAGCGTGGGTCCTACTCTCCGCGGTGCTCTGGTACCTGACAGGAGGTGGGGTGCCTCCCGCCGGCCCCCCAGGCCTCTCCCCTCTTGCCGGTCCTGCTTCCTCTGCTTTGCCCCGCCTTCCCCCACTCTGAGCCCTGGCTCCTCTTCTACCTAAAAACTCAGTGTTTTCTTTTCTCCGCAGTTGGATGGCAGCGTTCTTCCGAAAGCACTAAGAAAGGCTTCATTTATGGCAAGCCAGGACACCCAGGTAATAAGGACCTCTTCACACGCACAAGTCTGTCAGAAGAGCCGGGTGCCGTGGACCTGCTAAGGTTCTTCCCGCGGAGGGAAAGGGAGCGAATGATTGTAGACCGTCTGCCGCGTGCTCCGCACTTCCTGAAGGTTGCATCGTTTCATCCTTCCAGCGACCCTACTGCGCCTTAGTTGTATCACCTTGCCTAAAGCCTCACAGCTTGTAAGGAGCTAGGACTCAACCAAGTCTGTTTCTCTGATGCCCCTCACTTCCAGGCGTCTCTGCTGCTTCGCATCGTGCCAGGCCCACTCAGAGGAGTAATTTCCAAGACTGGAAGTTTCTCTGTTTGGAACTTCCTTATCCCTCCCCTTGTTAAGTGTAAGAACTGCACATCTTTTAAGGCTCAACTCAAATGTCCCCTATCACTATGATGAAACTTTCCCAAGGAAAATTAGTCACATAGCTAACTAGATAATTTTGATCCAGTTCATAGCATTTGTCATGCTTGGAATCTCTCCATGTTTGAAGCCCTATCCAGCCCCGCCACTACCAAATTGTAGGAGAGTGTCTTCTTTATAATTTCGGAGCCTGGCATTCAGTAGGTTTTAAAATATCTCATGGGACTGCATTGGTTCCAGGCAGATTATTGCTGCTTCCAAATCTGGAACAAATAATTGCAGAAAATCTTCCTCCTATGCCCCATTATAGGCTTAATTATTGTTCCCAACAAAGGACATAGTTAAATATAAGGTTTCCCTCAGGGGTGACAATGATCATCTTTAAAGTAGTTTTACAACCAAGCCCAAGTGCTTTTCTGATCTTTAAATTGATTCCACTAACCCTTCAGAAAATTGATTATAGTGAGTTCTCAAACTATACATTAAAGTTAACTTCTAAATGTATCATGTACATTTTTATAAACAAAACTATAATATCACAGAAAAAATCGACTAGTAGTCTAGATTTAAAAAACTCATGAGAAGCAAAAAGGACCTTAGCATTCTAAATGTTATAATAATATGCTGATTTTTAAAAAAGTGAAATCCAAAAAGAACTACTCAATATCTTAGGAACAAAATGGTAAATGTGCATTTCTTAATTTTGCTGTGTAATGTAGTTATATATTACTTTATTTTGTCACAGTGAAAATATATGTAAAATTACATCATCATAGTCCAATCCTTGTCTGTATGGATTTAAAACATGCTGAAATAGAAACAGTGGATCCCACCTACCGATGGATTGGGCCTAATGAAAAGCCATTAACAGGTAAATTATTTAATTTGAATACCTTTTTTAATGATGTGAACATTTTTTAGGAAAGCACTGTCACTTATTGGAATGAAAAATTGAAATTTAATTTTAATTGCAGTTTCACTTGCTCCATATTTAGACAAGTCATGATATACCTTGGTCTGTGCCTTATTTTTTCTCCTTTTGCAAAAACTGAAGCAGTAGCTTTGCACCCTACTTCCCAGAGTTGTATTGGTTCAAAAAATTTTTAAAAACCCAAAATTTATCCTTGTAGAACGAGTAATAAGAGATGAAGTAATCTAATATGTAATTTTTCTTGATATTAGAGGAGTATCTTGGATTATAAGCATTATCTCTGTCTCATGTGAAGAAATTGTATAGTACTGCAGAGCGGTATAATTTCATTTACTGAATTACTGGCATAAACCAATGGAAATTAGATGTCAAGAAATGAATTAAAACCAATATCTGCTTCAAAAATGTACTTATCACATGTTGTTTTCCATAAAGTAATATGACAGAATTAAGATTTTGTTGAATTTTTAAGTTAAAATAGTTCATTAATTTTTAAATTTTTAAATTTATTTGTAACCCCAAGTTGACTAAATAATGCTTGAATTGTTATATGTTAAATAATCAAGTAATTTACTATTTTTCTTTAGCAAATTATCGAATAAATAAAACTAAAACAGGAAAGCTGATGGTGAAAGATTTTCTGGAGCCTCTGTCAGGACTTTACACATGTACTCTTTCTTATAAGACTATCAAAGCACAAACCCAAGAAGAAAAGATGGTAAAGCAGAGATATGACTTTATGCTCTTTGGTGAGAATATAGGAACATTTTAATTTAATACATTTAGTTTGGATCAGAATTAAGTGTATGATTTCATTAGTGAAAATGAGTCTGTTATATATAATCATTATGATTTATTAAGTATTTTGGGTGTATCTGACCAGGCAAACTCTTAAATTGACATCAAGATAGTGTATCCTAAACAATCTTCTTTCAGCCTCCCACATCCCACTGTCTATGTATGCAAGCACAATTCACTTTATTACAATTTTGCCAGGTATCTTAAAAACTTATGTTTAATTCTATAAAAGCAAATTAACGTTCTTTTTCATAACAATGACACTTTCTGCAAATTAAGACCCTTGTCCCCCAAATCTTATGTTTTGATATTGTTAACTTATCTACATAGCTAGCCCATAGAAGCTATTTCTTCTCTTGAACTGAGTTGATAACATATCAAATGAAAATAATCTTTTTCATTAAAGTTATTTAATATTTTTTTGTGAGGACAAAGTTATAAAACATTGGGTAAGTTAAATTTCTCTGCTGATTTTTCAAGATTGATGGATTTAATATTCTATATTATTTTAAAATTGTTTTGTAGAGAAAATGCTAGGCACAATTGTTTTCTCATTTATTTTTTAAGCCTATCGGGAACCAGATTATTCATATCAGATGGCTGTACGTTTTACCACAAAGTCTTGTGTAGGAAGATATAATGACTTGCTTTTTAGAGTGCTGAAGAAAATCTTGGATAACTTAATCTCTGATTTGTCGTGCCAAATCGTAGAACCATCATATAAATGCCATTTTGTTAAACTTCCAAAACATGGCCTCCTAAATGAGCTATTTATAGCCTTTCAAGGTAAAACAATTTTTTTTACTTTAATTTTATGAGTTTAATCTTGAACCATGAGAGATTACAAAATTAATTACCATATTATTGTGAGATATCTTACAAATAGTAGGCCTTAAATGTTTGTTTGTGTAAGCACTAAAATATATTGTTGGTCTTAGCCTGGTTATAGTTTAAAAAATTAACACATTAATTATTTTACCTACAACTATGGTATACTGCTGCTTATTTTTTAGAAGTCAATATTATTTTATAAATATGGCCTTTAACTATGCAGCTAATATTTAACATCTTATAGAATTTTAAATAGTGTTTTTGAAAATTTCCTAAAAGTAATCAAACCAAATTTACTTCTATTCATTTTAAAGCCTTGTAGTTACTTCCATTAGCCCCCAGATGGAGTGAAATCATAACGTATAAATTATAAACATTGTGCACCTTACTTTATTACTGGGATTAGATAGATTAAACACATGCACCCATTCATACTGAATTCAGCATTTTGAGCTTTATTGGAATGTTTGGAACTTTTTAGAATCCTTTTGTGAAGATATCATTTTTCCCTCTCTAGTTAATCCTTTTGCACCAGGGTGGAAAGGTGCATGCAGTGATACTATTGATTGTGAAGATGTCACTAATCATAATATCCTCCAGGTGAGAATTTAATTGTAAGGGGAAAGTATTCAAATAGTCAATAAAGCTATTTAAAAATTTTGTAACTACTTTATTAAAAAGTTTCTTCAAAAATCTCTCCATGTTGTGAATATTTTATCAATAATAAAGCTGTTCTAAGCAAGTAGATTTAAATTACTTTTTTTAAAAAAAAATACATATATATAAAGTTTTTGATTTTCCGCTTTAGTAATTTAAAATGAGATTGTGAGAGTCTTGGCTATTTCAGTATGCTTTGTTTTGTAATAGTACATCTGAACTATTGTATAGCTCCCCGTATTTTTCTATGAAGGATGGATCCTTGGTCTTTGTTCCTCAAATGTTAACTAAGCAGCAGCTTGAAGAACAATCTCCCAATCATATCATTCTAGGCTAAAGCAGTGGTTCTTCCGAAACCACATCTATGCTGGCCATAATACTTGCTGTCTCCACAGCCATCCTCGGCGGCTATGTCCTCGGACATAGTCTAAAAAAATTCCTTCACTCTCCTGGTTTTTGAGCCCATACACTTTTTTTGTGCATGACTTATGGAAAGCACTAATATTAGTCCTTATTAAACTATGCTCAAAAAATAAAATTTACATCACTAGTTTGTAATGCTGATTAAAGTTTTAGTTTCAATTTTGCTTGGCTCTTTGGAATTAGAAATAATGAATTTCCAGTTATCTACAAATGGAATAGACATGCTGCAAATAATTCAAAATATGTTTTTTAACTTCAGTTTAATTTTTCTTAACCATTGTACATATGAATTGACAAAAATTGATAAAGTCAAGGCTAGACTAATTTTAGTATTGACACACAACTTTTCCGGAATTCATCTGCTGTGTAAAGCATGGATGGCGTGCTTATACTACATTTCATTGCCTCCGATACAAGAGGAGAAACTGGTTTACAGTTTAGTCATTGTACTTCCCTGGTATTTTTAAATCTTAGGCAAGAGATCGAATAGAAGAATTTTTCCGGAGCCAAGCAAATATTTTCTACCATGACTTTAATAAAACTATACCAGCTATGCATTTTGTGGACCACAGTTTTCAAGTAATACGTATGGATAGCTGTCGTCCAGGCTTTGGGAAAAATGAAGGTCTACACAGTAATTGCGCTACCTGTTGCGGTAATTATAACATATAAATATCTAAATATTTAGGTTATGTAGTCAAAAGAATAGATGAGCAATTCACTTAGGATAATTGAATTGGATTTTTATAGTGATCCTCTTACAAAAAAATTATGTTTAGCTAAAAGGAAGTAAAAATTCAAAGCCTAAATTTCTAAATGTAATTATTTTCATGTATATTAAAGCTTCTTAATGTACTCTTTTATATTACAAAACATTTCTGTAGTGTTCTCACTTAAGCTACTAGACTGTGAAAGAAAACAGAATGGTCCATCCTACCTAGAAAACAGGATTGGAAATAGAAACTAGAAAACTAGAAATAAGAACTCACAAATGGGGCGCTACTGAAGGTACTATAAAATGCTGATACTATTGGAAAAAATAATTGGAATTCTAACTTTCTCTTGCCTTTAAGATAATCAAATTACAGCATTTGAAACTCATAAATAATCTTCCACAACTTAATTGGCTGAACATTATTTAGTATAACATAGTTATAGAAATGGTGTAATATTGAAGGCAGATTTATATTTTTGGTATAAAATATCTCTAACTGAAATTATAATAATCTATTCCATGTGTTTTCCTCTGCAGTGGTTTGTAGTCCTGGGACTTTTAGTCCTGATGTTGATGTTACTTGTCAGACCTGCATTTCCATCCGTACCTATGGAGCTAAATCTTGCCCATAAACTTCAAACAAAAATCACAGTATGAAGACTAGAGGTGAAAGCATTGTTACTAGCTTGTGGAAGTGGGGAACATAAGATTTGTTCACATCCCAGAATATCATAGTTCCATTAAGTAAGATCAGTAAGACCAAAATATTGGAAAACATACATTTAGGAACTTTAAAAAGATAGTTGACATGACATTTCTAAGAAGGCATTTAATATCTTCAGTGTACAAAGGAAAGTGTAAGTATTAGTGGATGATTTTTAATGAAATATGTTTTGTTGTTTACAATCTAAATCTGTCACTCTGTACCTAAGACTATATTAAGGTCAAGAAGAGTAGCAAAGTATAATATAATAAAAAAACTTCATACTTTCCATATATTAATTTGTTTGCTATTATATATAACTCATATAAAGGCATATATATATATTTTAATGAGATCCTAAAAAGTTCTCTTTTAGTCCTTTTGCTTTTAGTTTTAAATAATTAATAGAATTTTTTTAGTAGTTTTAGATTTATAGAATAATTGAGCAGATATATAGAGTTCATCTATCCACTCTAGCCCACACCCTCACCCCTCCCCAGTTTCCCCTATTATTGACATTTTGCATTAGTGTGATACATTTGTTACAATTAATGAACCAATGTTGCTATATTATTATTAACTATAGTTTATAATTTACATTAAGATTTACTCTTTGTGTTTTACAGTTCTATGATTTTCCACAAATACATAATGACATGTGTCCATCTTTACAGTTTCATAGAGAATAGTTTCACTACCCTACAAAGCCCCTGTGCTTTACTTATTCATCTCTCTCCCTTACCCTAGAGAACTTGACAACCACTGAGCTTTTTACTGTCTCTAATTTTGCCTTTACATTATGTAAAATTTTCAGACTGGCTTCTTTCACTTAGCAATATGCATTTAAGTTTCCTCTATGTCTTTTTATGACTTGATAAATTTCTATTGCTGAATAATATTCCATCATATGGATGTATGAAGGACATCTTGGTTACTTTTGTGTAACCATGATTATGAATAAAACTTCTGTAAACATATGTGTGGAGGTTTTTGTGTGGACATAAGTTTTCAACTCAATTGTGAAAATACCTAGGAGCATGATCGCTGGACTTATGGTTAAGACTATGTTTAGTTTTGTAAGAAACTGCCAAACTGTCTCCCAAATTGGTTTACCGTTTTGCATTCCCATCAGCAATGAAAGTGTTCTTGTGGCTCCTCATCCTCACTAGTTTTTGGTATTTTCAATTTTTAGGATTTGGGCCATTTTAACAGGTGTAGTGGTATTTCATTGTTGTTTTAATTGGAAATTTCCTAGTACATCCAATGCTGAGCAGCTTTTCATATGCTTATTTGTCATCTGTATATGTTCTTTGGTGAGGGGTCTAATCTTTGTCCATTTTTTAATTAGATTGTTTATTCTCATTGAATTCTAAGAGTTTTTGTATATTTTAGGTACAAGTTCTTTATCAGATGTGTTTTGCAGATATTTTCTACTATTCATTGGCTTTTCTCTTCATTCTTTTAACAGTGTCTTTCACTAAGGAGTTTTTAGTTTTAGTAAAGTCCAACTTACTGATTTTTTTTCATGGATTGTGCTTTTGGTGTCATAGCTAAAAACTCATCAACAAACCCAAAGTCATCTGGAGTTTCTTCTGTTGTATTCTAGAAGTTATATAGTTTTGTATTTTATGTTTATGCCTAAGATGAATTAATTTTTGTGAAAAGTAAGTTGTGTGTCAAGATTCTTTTTTTGTTGTTGTTGTTGTTTTTTTTTGGCAAGGGGATGTCCAGTTCCTACATCATTCATTGAAAAAACTGTCTTTCTTCACTGGATTGCCTTTGCTTCTTTATAAAAGATTTGTTGACCACATTTGTGTAGGTCTATGTCCGGGTTCTCTGTTCCGCTCCATTTATCAATTCATCTATTCTTTTATCAATATATTGTCTTGATTAGTGTTTAATAAGTCTTAAATTTGGTTAGTAACAGTCTTCTGACTTTGTTTTTCTTCTTCAGTATTGTGTTAGTCATTCTGGATCTTTTGCCTTTCCATGTAAACTTTAGAATCATCTCGTTGATAACTACAAAATAACTTGCGAGGAATTTGGTTAGAATCGCATTGTATCTATAGATCAAATTGGGGAAAGTTGACATCTTAACGTTATTGAGTCTTCCTATCGAGAAATATGAAATATATTTATTTAGATCTTTTTAAATTTATTTCATCAGAGCTTTATAGTTTTCCTCATATGACCTTGCACATATATTCTTAGATTCATGCCTAAATATTTTAGGTGTGAATGTAAATGATACTGTATTTTTAATTTCAAATTGCAGGTATTCATTGCTGGTATTTAGGAAGACAATTGACTTTTGTATATTAACCTCATATTTGTTCTATGACCTTACTATAACCACTTATTAATTCCAGGAAGCTTTTTGTCTATTCTTTGGGATTTTATGCATAGATAATCATATCATCTGTGAACAAAGACAGTTTTATTTCTGCTCAATCTGTATATCTTTTAGTTCCTTGACTTATTGCAATATCTAGAACTTCCTGTATGGTGTTGAAAAGGAATGGTGAGAGAGAACATCCCTACCTTGTTCCTAATCTTAGAAAGATTCTAATTTCTCACCATTCAATATGATGTGAAACTACAGTTTTTTAAATAGATGTTCTTCTTCAATTTGAAAAAGTTCCCCTCTATTCCTAGTTTGCTGAGAGTTTTTATCATGAATGGGTATTGGATTTTTCCAAATGATTTTTCTGCATTTATTGATGTGATCATAGGATTTTTCTTTAGCCTGTTGATGCAATGAATGACATCAACTGATTTTCAAATGTTGAACCATCCTTGCATATTCAGAATAGATCCTTTTGGTCATGGTGTGTAACTGTTTTTATACATTGTTGGATTTATGTGATGATATTCTACTGAGAATTTTTACATTTATGTTCATGAGACATAATGGTCTGTAGTTTTCGTTTTCTTGTAATATTGCCTTGTTTTACTATTAGGGTTATTTAGTATTATTATTAACATAATAGGTATGTGTGTCAGTCAGGGTCTAATCAGGAGACAGAAAACACTAAGTAATTTGAACAGGAAAAGTTTAATATAAAGAATTATTAACTATAACAGGATTAGAATAACAAGAAATTGGCTAGTAAGATGTAAAGAGAACCCTAAAGGATATAGGAATAGCAAATAAAAAGAACAGCTACTACCACTAGCACTGAGATAGAGTGTCCAAAAAAGAGCCACCATCTCCTAGGGCTGCAATCCAGACCTTAATGAGGAGGGCATAACTACAGGTCACTGGAGGCAGAAAAGTCACAGATGCTGGAAATTCATCCTCTGGAACTTTCAAGAGATCCATCCTTTAGGATGCCAAGAAAAGCTATTCACGGGGAAATTTCTCATTGTGCTGCAAAATCACATGAGGAGGAAGGGTTGCTGGCAAAGCTGTTGGCCACCATGCACTGTAGGATATGGATGCTGAAGACTTTGCACATGCTATAGGGGCCTGCCAAGGGAACAGCCCAAAACCAGGAAGAAAATTTCTTTCCTCCTCTGGTGTCTCTCCAGCATCTTCTTTTGACTAACATTGTGCCAGCTGGTAAAGTTAAATATTTACAAGGCCCAGATCCATTTTCACAAAGCAAGCAAAAAGAATATATTTGGAGCAGAAAGGCAATAAATTGATAACTGGCACAGTCCAACCCTTTGGCTACTCAGCTTCCATATGCACCTTTCTACACACATTTGAACTCTTGTACATTGACAAAGCAATTTTATATTTTTACCTACAAATTGGCTAGTAAGGTTATCCATCTTACAAGCATTCACCATTTCTCCAAAATATGGAGGCATATAGTTCCAGAAGTTATTGTTGCTATTGCTAGCTGTGTTATTCCTCAGATTAGTCACAGTCTCATTTTGTTCCCTAAAGCTAAATTGTAAAATTAACTCCCAACAACTTTTATATGAAATAAAAATGGGAAAGAGGGGGAAGAAGATGGGTAGTATATTAAAATAGACATATGATATAACAAGAAAAGAGAAAATATGCAAAACTATGTTTCTGTAATTGGTCATGAGTTTCTAATTGATATCTTCTTCAACTACTAATTTCATACTTTTTCTTGCCCTTAGCCTTTAGTTGCTTTGGATTCTTCACCTGGTGGAATAACCAAAACCTTCATCCCCAAAGGGTTTGAATTCATGTTTTACCCTGTTTTTATTGTTGTTGCTACATAATTTTCCATCAACTTTTACCATTGGGCATAGAAGAACTAAGAGGCACCCCAGAGAATATCTTGAGTTCCAGACATGGTCCTCCTTGTTGCCATTGTGTAGCAGTTCAATTTGCCCTTAGTAATCAAGATCAATCACTTTATCTAGTAAATTAACAACCTGCCACCCTTTTTTTTTCCCTTTCTTTCTTTTTTGGCCAATTGGCTCGGTGGCATGTGGAGCCCAAAATGTCCAGGTGGCAGTCTCATTTTTCAATTTAGGGAGCGACCATTGTGTCCCTAGGTGGAAACATCTGCCACTTGGGGACAAAGATCTCCAAACCAGTAGAACTCAAAGTTGCCAGGATTGGAAGCAAAACTTCTAAAAGCAGATGTTTAGAAGTAATAGAAGATCCACTCCCACTTCCACCTTTGATTCCTGGACTATTCTGGCTCTCTAAGGGAGACAACACTATATATTGGTCTCTGATTCAAAGCATATACTGCATCCCGTAAAACAGAACCCCTTCATTTCAGGGTGTCTGTAACTAAGATTTAGTAACCCATTTCACCTTTCAGTTATGCCAATTGCTTCTGGATGATGGACTATGTGGTAAGACCACTTAATTTCATGGTTATGAGCCCATTGCTTCATTTCCTTTGCTGTGAAGTGAGTTCTTTGATTAGACATAATGCTATGTGGATGCCATGAGGATGGATGAAGCACTCTGAGTCCACTGGTGACAGTACTGGCAGAAGCATTACAAGCATGGAAGGCAAATCCACAACTAGAATATGTGTCTATTCCAATAAAGATGATTCTCTGTTGTTTGGACAGTTTTATTCTTTCAGCATAAAAAAATCATGCATACAGGTTAATGATTATAATGTTATCCTGAGATAGACTAATGTATTATTCTTTTCAATTTTTAATAGCATGTCTCATTTTAAAACAGCAGAATTTTATAAAAGCAAGAAATAGGATATGAACATTTTAATGATAGGATTCTAAAGAGGAACTTCTG